GTTTCAAGTACAACAGACAAAATAGAGTTGGTAGAGCTTTCGAAGTTGATTAATAAGCGTAAGGTATCTGATGTAAGGTATCTGATGTTCATACTGTAAATCAGGTAATAGAGAAATGCTCAGAACATAACCAACCACTATTGATAGCCTTCATAGATTACGAGAAGGCGTTTGATTCAGTAGAAATATCAGCCGTCATGCAGACACTGTGGAATCAGGGCGTCGATGAAGTATATATAAACACCCTGGAAAAAATCTATAGGGGATCAACTGCTACCATAGTGCTTCATAAAGAAAGAAACAGAATACCAATCAAGAAAGGTGTAAGGCAGGGGGACACAATCTCCCCAATGCTATTTACCGCATGCTTACAGGAGGTTTTCAGAAGCCTAGAATGGGAACAGTTAGGGATAAGAGTTAATGGGGAGTATCTTAGTAACCTGCACTTCGCCGATGACAATGCATTGCAAAGTAACTCGGGACGAATTGCAACTCATGATTACAGACTTAGACAAAGAGAGCAGAAAGGTGGGTCTGAAAATTAATCTGCAGAAAACGAAAGTAATGTACAACAACCTCTGAAAAGAGCAGCGCTTCGAGATAGGTATTAGTGCACTTCAAGTTGTAAAAGACTATGTCTACTTAGGGCAAGTAATAACCGTGGAGCCGAACAACGAGATTAAAGTGATTAAAAGAATAAGAATGGGGTGGAGCACATTTGGCGAGCATTCTCAAATTATGACAGGTAGATTGCCATTATCTTTCAAGAGGAAGGTATATAACAGCTGTTCTGGGAACCTAGACTGCCGAAGCTTCTCAATCTGCCGTGCAAAACTCTCTTGCATGCGGTGTGGGCACGACTTTTTGAGTGACGCTCCCAGACAGGCCATTGCAACACCGTTTTTTATTTTTTTTAGAAATACCCCAACAGAAGTCGATGTTAGGTTTGACTCTACGGGGAGCGTACATCCAACATACGTGGCTTCCACCAAAAGATATGCTCAAATCTAAGAACCGTATGCAACGATTGTCGGAAACCTCACAAGTAAACTTCAGCCCCGACCCCAACTCTTTGAACACCTTCAAAACATCGGTCTTAGTACGTACACACCGACAGTCCTCAACGAAAAACATGTAATCATCCACATATCTGAAGTTTTTCACCACCGCTGAGTCCAATGCAGTCTTTAGGCCACGGTCAACAACTCTAAAAAAGATTTCACTCAAAACTGGCGCGACCCTCGACCCAATGCAGACCTCCCGACCTCTGAGTGTAAAAGCACTCGTTCCAATCAATAGCAGTTGACCCCAGGTACACCGACAGAAGCTCAAGGAAGGAACTCGTAGATGCGCCGCACCTGTCCTGAAACCTTAGTTCGTCATTATCTTGTTGAATGCAATTCCTGAATCACACCAGTAGTCTGTCCTGTGGCAATGAGTAGGAGAGGTCTTCCACATCTATACTGAACCCTGACAGTACTTTCACGAAACCTTCCATCAGAAACGTTGCGCCACTTCCTCTGAATTCTTCACCCGGAAAGGGTTCACCACACAGAGGAACATCAGATGTTTCATCACACAGAGGGACGTCAGATGTCGGAAAGAAATCCAGCCACCTTGCGCTGCCAAGTCCCACGCTCGGAAACAATAAGGCGAAAAGGGTTTTCATTTTTCCAGCCTTATGCGTCTTCATGGTGAAAAACATTTCTAACACGGTGCCTTTCCTTTCTTCACCGCTGAGCACAGGCTATTGTGTTTCATCTCTTGCGTAAGCGCCATCGCTTTCTTTTTAACATCCGCCTGCCTTTCTTCAAATGCCTTAGGGTGCTTTTTTACCGCCGCTTCGGCTTTCGCCTGGAACAGCCTGTTCGGCAGGAGAGTAAAGGTTTATTCCTTATCTGCCATCAGAGACCTGATCTTCCTTTCAACGAAATAGTCCACTAGGCCGCGTGTGTTCGTCATACCATAGGGCATCTTTGAGAGGGACACTGCAGGGAGTGGCGCTGCGCACCCTTGCTATCAGAGACCAGGGTGCTCGCAAGAACGAAAGGAAAAATTGCTCGAGGAATTGAGGAAGCACATTTTATTAATAAATTAGGCAACACATGTGCGGCGAGGCCCTCTATCACGTTACATGCCACCGAGACAGATTACTTGAGTGCTTGCCACTAATAGGATTTATTTTCTGATAATATTACTTGTGATTTTGTTGACCTGTATATATATATGTGTGCTTTTTAGAATGAATTCAGTTAATAGTCTGTGCTTGTCCGTCTCTCGTGTTTATTTCGCGCCAAAAGCTACGTTACACGTTTAACTGCAGATACTAAATGAATATGGGAATCCTGAAACTTCAGCACAACTTCGGTATCAATTTTATGATTCTTGGGTGTAAAAAAAATGACCTTTTTTTTAGTAGCGTTTATTACAAGGGAATTAGCAGCAGACTAAGCTGATAATTTGTTTAGTACTTTGTTCCTTTTCAGAAGTGAATCGCTTGGGTTTCTTGATGTAAATAATATGGTACTTTCAACAGTGTAACTGACAAAGTCAACAGAATTTTTCAATGTTTATTAGGTCAATAATATATAAGCAAAACAAGAGTGGTCCTAGGATGTTTCCTTGTGGCACTCCTGAGTTTAGAGGTTTCAAGCCTGAAGAATGGTTCTTTACTATCACTTTTTGGCTGGCAGCAGAGAAGGTAAGAGTGAAGTAATCCTAATAGTATGTCACGGAAACCATAGTGATTAAGAATAGCATGACTTACTGCACGTAATAATCAGCAACATCCATATGGTCACACTTCATAGAGTGCATCAGCATATTTTTAATGTTTGCTGGGGCACCCTGTATAAGTATTGTGTACCTTGCAAGTATTGGTATCGATGAAGTGTTCATTGCAGTTTACTTGGCAAAAGCTGGATTTTCATAGATAAATAATTCTCTATTTCTGTATGTGGTGCTGCGGCACAAAAGGTCTTTTCATGACACATCTACATCCTGCAGGCCTTGTATGGCGAACTGCTAATTGGAGTGATTATTAAATCTCTCCATTTCTCCATTTATCTCAAGTCATACAGCAGATTATCATTGTTCCTGTATTTACTTTTTTGTCTCGTAGAAAATTTTATTACACACAGCATTTTATGACATATAAAAATATGCAGTGATTGCTACACATGTGCTTACAGACAGCAAAAATGTTTAACTATTCAATCAAACCTTCAAACACTCTCCTTACAGACCATTTTCTAATGATTGAACTTCGCATGATATGTAAATTGCTAAATTACCGAAGCAGCATTGGTCTCAGGCAGCTTTCGGGAGGGGGATTATTTCAGAAACGGTGTTGATTTCTTTTCTTTTTTTTTCCACAATATAGTCAAGATGTGTGACGAGTAACGCAGTTTTGGCCTCCATGACAGGGGATTATATTTCCAAGAAAGATGTACAGACACGCTCAATATAACCTGTAACAAGGGAGTGGATGGCCTCACGAGTTCAAAAGGTTGCGCGTGGCTTCAACTTTTTATTTCAAGAGCTAAATAATATTTTTTAGTTTGGGATCATACCAAAGTAAGGGAAACATGTTTACTAATGGATATGAAGGCTAGTGGAAACCATGCTGAATAACTCGTGAGGCCACATGCTCCTGTGTTGCAAGTCATATTGAGAGAGACTGTACCTTGCATGTTTCTTCTATAATTTTATCTTAATGGCAACACTACAGCTTCCAATTACACCCTGTCATTTAGCAACTGTTGAATTCCTTTTTGTTCTTGTTTTTACACTAGAAGTATGCACTGTCAGAAAAACTGGGAAACGCCAGTTTTATTTTATTTTCTTTTTTTTTCTCCATACTTATGATATGTTGCTTTTGCTGCATGAAGCTATAAGAAATACCTCACCAGCCATGATGAAACCGGATGCATGACTAGAGCAGCTGCTGGGCTTCGAGAGCCTCTGCAACACTCTAGGCACTTCAGTACTTATGGAGTGGGTAAACGAAGTGGGTTTTATTCAGTCTCCTGAGCATTATAGTGGTGGGTAAGCAACATGAGCACCATCGCAAAGCCCAGCATCATGTAATATATACACATGTTAGTTCGAGGTGCCACATGTGGCACATATAGTGTTTCCTAGCTCACCACCATTCTGATTATGCTTGGGATTGAAAGCCACCGGCGGGCTGGTTGAGTGAGGCACTTGCAAGATTATCAGTCAAGTTCGAATCATCTAGTTGCCAATTTGCAAATAACAAACCATTTGTCCCATGGTGTCACTGGGGATTGAAGTAAATAAAATTGAATAAACAGGTGTCTACTTACATACATTTTGCAAGCCTTCTGACATTCTTTTTTTTTAATGAGCAGCAGCAGATAGCATGTGCATATGAACATATAATGTCTGCCAGCAATAATAAGGTGAATATTATTTGGCTTGAATGGAAAGACGGCTACAATAAATATAGCCTTGGTCTTATTGAAGTGGCATCATGCTATATGCTGTTGAGTACTTATATTTTAAATGCGAGCTGTTCACCTAGGCCGTCATGAACCATACTTATTTGTTTGATAATGTGCTAGTGATTTGCAATTAATGTTCTTTGCATCAAGTGCAGCTTAGCAGGTTAGCGCAAAATATATACCAGTCTTGCTTGGTCTATGCTATATAAATACCTTCAGAATTTAGTTGCATTACATTTTTCTTAATTGTAAGAAACTGTTGCCTTGTCTGGTTCTTGGCGACGTGGTACAGCTTGGAAGTCGTACTCGTTTCTCAACAGGGGACATTTCGCTCCTGCTGCTTCCTGCTGTCATGATAATAATAATATCTGGGGTTTTACATGACAAAACCACGGTATGGCAGCTAATCAAAATGGATGAAGAATTTAGTTCAAGAAGCGAACTTGAGGTGTAACTTCAAGTGTTTACACAAGCTAAAACAGTTGTACCTTTCATCATATTTTTTCTTTTTCTCCTTGTTTTTTAATTTTTTAGGAAGTACAGAGTGAAGAGGTGTCTCCTGTCATACCTAAGCTTCTGGAATGTGGTCGAACGAGAAATGGCAAAAGGAATGCACAGCTAATAACAGAGTCATCAATCATACCCAAGCTTCAGGAATGCACTCGAGCAAAGAAGCCCATAATGGACACACATGGTATGCAACTGTCTCGATCCGTAGCCATAGTTCAAAAACATGCACAAAGGAAAAAGCGCAAAAGATCTAGTTAGTACACTTATACTATTACTTTCATTGTCTCTACCATTTTGTTTTAACTAAATGCCTGGCCTTCGCTGTGTAACTATATCCAAAATATGTTGTGAAAATATTTGATTATTCCTTGAATGCGAAAACTCTTGTGATCGTCAAGCCAGGTTTTCAATGAACATATGCTCACATTGCGGGGAGTTTAAACAACCCCGTGTTAGCAAGCCAGTAGTATAATGTGAAGGTCGTCTTGGCTGCTATTGTCTGTTTCCAAATATTGTTCTCATGTTATGTAAATCAATTCTGTAATTCTAAAATGACTTGATGCTTTTGGACATGTTTCTTGTAAAAATTATCACAAAAACTATAAACCATTGGCAAGTAAAAACGAACTCGAAGACAAAATCTTTCTTTTAATGCAAATCAGTTCTACGGAGACCTGCAAGGTGCCGGAGGGTTTAAGAAAGGGAAGTAGGCAACCACCCTTGGTGTAGACAATGGGTGATTGACAAAGTATACAACCATTTGTGTTGGTTGTCTACTTTCCCTTTCTTAATCTTTCTTCTAATCAATATTTGAATAGCTTCATTTTGTAACTTTACAAGAGTTTATGACTAAAAGCAATCTCATAGTACTTAAATTCTTACTATAATCATTCTGAAATTTGCTATTATAGTAGGCAACGACCCATTTTGTCTTGAACAAATACTTAGTTCCTCCCTTTGAACTGATCAGACGAAACAGTGTGTAAATACAAAGCAAATGTGGTACGGCATGACTTCGCTGCAGACGCCTATTTTTTGGTATACTGTGCAGTAGGGGAAGTGGAGGGGAATATTTTATTGATTAGGCAGTGTAGGAATTTACACAATGTCTTGAAATAGCAGAAACAAGGGCATACACATATTCTAACTTGTATTAAAGAGTCTCTAAACCGCTGTCAGTTGGAGGGCAAGTGAACAGTCTCTATCTCTCTTTTTGCTACCCTTCCTTCGGCTGCTCTCATCTTTAGACGCTCCATCAGCATCAAAACTTTATTGTGGCATTCTTTTTTTTATTTTATAACACCATCAGCTTTTGTTGATTAAAGCTCTGCATTTCTTGGCCACATGTAGCTGCCTCTGCATTCACTGTGCAAAGCATGCTGCCTGCATAAAATGAACTTAAAACTCTTTTGTTACCACGCTTATTCATATTGATCCTCGGTGATCGACACTTTGACTCATCATTCTCTGCATGTTGAATTTGTTTAGCGTTCACCTAGCACTTTCAAGTAGTTAGTTCAGCCACTGACCTTCTAGAATCAGTTTGAATTTGCCCGATTTGGCAACATAGTTTTGACAGACATATTTATGAACCCATGTGTGTGTGTGTGTGTGTGCTTGGAAGATACACCTGGCTGGTGAACTTGAGATAAATAGATAAACGGGTGGTGCTTGTGCGTGTGCTGCTGTAACATCAAAATTTTGTAATCAAAAAAACCTTAGCAAGTCAAGTATCAAACTATAGTATCAGCTTGGCAACCTGACAGTGTTGAGCTGTCACAATTGCCTGAAATTTATGCCATCTATTCACTAGAAAATTGTTGTTTAGAGTCAGAGAAAACTTAATCTACAAAAAAATATTTCCGGTGGTCCACCAGATGTATGACGTTTGGAGGTAGTCTTTTCAGACAGTTTCCAGCAGCTTCAGTTTCGCTTCTGTTGATAAATCAGACACAAGGCCGCATCCAGTGTCGCTAGTGGCTCCTGTGGCGGCGGCATCAAGTGTGCATGGGTCCGCACCTGTGCAATGAGAAACATGTGCTGCTCGCAACTATCTTGCAACTGCTTCTGAATAGAATGACTACAAACTTTGAGTCCGAAGATGACAGCACCTCAGCTTCAAGTTCTGATGGCGACAATGTTCTGTGTCAGCCTGGGACATTCGCAACCAATGAGGGATTAGTTCCATTTACGGCCTTAGGTTGTCTTCTCCATCGCACGTGCATAGTTGCTGACTTTTGTGCACAATTTTATAGATACTGTGGTTACTTGCGAGGTCCACACACCGCTGTGGCGTGATGGTACTGGCAGTAGAGCTCTTTGTGACAAGAAGGCCACTGGAGCACTTCTTGGCCCCGCACTATGCTGTGGCGCAAGTCGTTTTAGGTCTACACGTTATTTTGTGTTTCTTTCTTTTTTCTCTTTCTTCAATACTATCTGCGAAAGTACAAATAAATCTGCTTGGATGCATATTTTGGAACTCCTACCTATCCCTTTCTGACCCGGCAACCAGTGTACTGGATATGACGAAAAAAGTGATGCAGAAAAGTAAGCAGAGCTTATAATCAAAACTAAAACCACATTGGTAGCTTCTGTAAGAGTCGAACAATATGATTTTAAGTGTAGTTCCTCCTTCAGCCCCATTTTTGATAGGGGGCACCTCACAGTAATGGTGTCAACCACACAGAAACGTGTGCACACAATGTGGTAAAGTATAAAAATTATTTTTGAAGCTACCTTCATGTAATTCAAATGATTTAAATTGTTCAAGCTGTTTTATATCTTCTTGAAACATTGTTGCAATAAAAAAAAGTAATTTTTCTAATCAAAAGCTTGCTGCTAATAGAAGAATGTATTTATGTCCAGTACACTGGGCACTGGGATGCAATTGGCACACATCGTGCTAAACATGTAGGGAAAAAAAAAAAAACAAGAGGCGGCATCACATGAAAGTCTTGAAGCCCAGCCATAGCCTTTGTTAAACACATTTTGGTTAACTACTAGAAGCGCACTTGCAGGGTTCCCACTTGGGCATAAATCGTCATGATTTTCGTGTAGTAGAGAGGCATTCACTATGCCATCCTTCGTAATTATTTGGAGAAGCGTGGTTCCCACTACATACTTGGAAGGAATTTCATGTAAATTTTTTTTTATGTTGTGAATGATGAAGATGAGGAATTATGCCTGGAGTGCTTGTTATGCGTTGGAGCATTCCATGACCCACTCGTTGTTCTTTTGCAGCTCCATGACCCAAACCTGGTTCTTCTTTTGCCGTTACAAAATGCTTTATTACTAATAATAACGAGATTTTTTTGCTAAGGCACGTTGCCGGGCTAGTTGGTTGGGATTCATCATTTATATGGGTAAAGTGCACCACATCAATACTTTGCAATCGGCGATGATGCGTGCACGATCTGTGCCGTAATGTAACATGATCGTTTCCAGGTTTTATCGGTCTGTTATTATATAAATAGCATGTGTGATTGCAAATAAAACGTTAGTTGCAAGTTAGCGCTGTGTGTTTGTCTCTCTCTCTCTCTTTGTGTCCTTGTTGGGGTGTGCTGAACCCATATAAGGGATTCCTTTCCCGACATCAAGCCTGTCTAAGGCCACTTTGCTACGGTGTTTCAAGCACCAGCGTTGCTTTGTGGTAGAATAGTGGGCTAGCACACAGGGGACCTGTGTTCGAATCTCATTGTGTCCTTGGGTGTTTTTTCTTAATTTATTTTTTTAATTTCACGTGATAATAGTTGCTAACACTGGCAGTGTTGACTGACAACTACGGCACACGTGACCCTTGTTGTGGTCCCAAAACAATGTTGGCTCTAAAAAAGTATATAATAAAATAAAAGCGTGTGAACAGTGACAAAATTTGCATTTTTCACTGCTGTCATTAATCTTGCTTGCGAGTTGTGCCTCTAGTAGCATAAGTTTGCTGAATGAATGTTCCCAAGTTCACTCAACAACCATCTCACAATCACTGCCACTTTCACATGAACCGATGCTGCATTGCATCGTCTGTTTTATGATAGTCATGCTTTTGCACAGAGTGGGTAGGAAATGTATAGCCCATACTAACCAATGTGCTACGATTGTCCTTGCAGAGGTTTGGGATCAAGTTAATCTCTGTGACCAACCTAGTGGACTTACTGCCAGCAGTGATGAGGTGAATATTATTTGGCATGAATGGAAAGACTACTACAGTAAATATAGCCTTGGTCTTATTGAAGTGACATCATGCTTTATGCTGTTGAGTACTTCTATTTTAAATGCGAGCTCTTCACCTAAGCTGTCATGAACTATTCTTATTTGTTTGATAATATGCTAGTTATTTGCAATTAATGTTCTTTCCATCAAGTGCAGCTTAGCAGGTTAGCGCAAAATATATACCAGTCTTGCTTGGTCTGTGCTATTTAAATACCTTCAGAATTTAGTTGCATTACATTTTTCTTAATTGTAAGAAACTGTTGCCTTGTCTGGTTCTTGGCGATGTGGTACAGCTTGGAAGTCGTACTCGTTTCTCAACAAGGGACATTTCGCTCCTGCTGCTTCCTGCTGTCATGATAATAATAATATCTGGGGTTTTACATGACAAAACCACGGTATGGCAGCTAATCAAAATGGATGAAGAATTTAGTTCAAGAAGCGAACTTGAGGTGTAACTTCAAGTGTTTACACAAGCTAACACAGTTGTACCTTTCATCATATTTTTTCTTTTTCTCCTTGTTTTTTAATTTTTTAGGAAGTACAGAGTGAAGAGGTGTCTCCAGTCATACCTAAGCTTCTGGAATGTGGTCGAACGAGAAATGGCAAAAGGAATGCACAGCTAATAACAGAGTCACCAATCATACCCAAGCTTCAGGAATGCACTCGAGCAAAGAAGCCCATAATGGACACAAATGGTATGCAACTGTCTCCATCCGTAGCCATAGTTCAAAACATGCACAAAGGAAAAAGCGCAAAAGATCTAGTTAGTACACTTATACTATTACTTTCATTGTCTCTACCATTCTGTCTTAACTAAAAGCCTGGTCTTCGCTGCATAACTATATCCAAAATGCGTTGTGAAAACATTTGATTGATCTTTGAATGTGAGAACTCTTGTGATCGTCAAGCGAGGTTTTCAATGAACATATGCTCACATTGCGGGGAGCTTAAACAACCTCGTGTTAGCAAGCCAGTAGTATAACTTGAAGGTTGTCTTGGCTGCTATTGTCTTTTTCCAAATAATGTTTTCATGTTATGTAAAACAATTCTGTAACTCTAAAATGACTTGATGCTTTTGGACATGATTCTTGCAAAAATTATCACAAAAACTATAAACCATTGGCAAGTAAAAACGAACTCAAAGACAAAATCTTTCTTTTAATGCAAATCAGTTCTGCGGAGACCTGCAAGGTGGCAGAGGGTTTAAGAAAGGGAAAGTAGCAACCACCCTTGGTGTAGGTGATTGACAATGTATACAACTATTTGTGTTGGTTGTCTACTTTCCCTTTGTTAATCTTTCTTCTAATCAATATTTGAATAGCTTCATTTTGTAACTTTACAAGAGTTTATGACTAAAAGCAATCTCATAGTACTTAAATTCTTACTGTAATCATTCTGAAATTTGCTATAATAGTTTGCGACGACTAATTTTGTTTTGAACAAATGCTTAGTTCCTCCCTTTGAACTGATTAGACGGAACAGTGTGTAAATACAAAGCAAATGTGGTACGGCATGACTTCGCTGCAGACGCCTATTTTTGGGTATACTGTGCAGTAGGGGAAGTGGAGAGGAATATTTTATTGAATAGGCAGTGTAGGAATTTACACAATGTCTTGAAATAGCAGAAACAAGGGCATACACATATCCTAACTTGTATTAAAGAGTCTCTAAACCGCTGTCAGTTGGAGGCCAAGTGAACAGTCTCTCACTCTTTTTGCTACCCTTCCTTCGGCTGCTCTCATCTTTAGACGCTCCATCAGCATCAAAACTTTATTGTGGCATTCTTTTTTTTATTTTATAACACCATCAGCTTTTGTTGATTAAAGCTCTGCATTTCTTGGCCACATGCAGCTGCCTCCACATTCACTGTGCAAAGCATGCTGCTGCCTGCATGAAATGAACTTAAAACTCTTTTGTTACAACGCCTATTCATATTGATCCTTGGTGATCGACACTTTGACTCATCGTTTCCTACATGTTGAATTTGTTTAGCGTTCACTTAGCACTTTCAAGTAGTTAGTTCAGCCACTGACCTTCTAGAATCAGCTGGAATTTGCCCGATTTGGCAAAATAGTGAGTTTTGACAGACATATTTATGAACCCATATGTGTGTGTGTGTGTGTGTGTGCGTGTGTGTGTGTCTCTCTCTCTCTCTCTCTTTGTGTCCTTGTCTTGATGTGCTATACCCATATAAGAGATTCCTTTCCTGACATTAAGCCTGTCGTAAGGCCAGTTTGCTACGCTGTTTCAAGCACCGGTGTGGCTTTGTGGTAGAATAGTGGGCTAGCACACAGGAGACCTGTGTTCGAATACCATTGTGTCTTTGGGTGTTTTTTCCTAATTTATTTTTTTAATTTCACGTGATAATAGTTACTAACACTGGCAGTGTTGACTGACAACTACGGCACACGTGACCCTTGTTGTGGTCCCAAAACAATGTTGGCTCTAAAAAAGTATATAATAAAATAAAAGCGTGTGAACAGTGACAAAATTTGCATTTTTCACTGCTGTCATTAATCTTGCTTGCGAGTTGTGCCTCTAGTAGCAGAAGTTTGCTGAATGAATATTCCCAAGTTCACTCAACAACAATCTCACAATCACTGCCACTTTCACATGAATCTATGCTGCATTGCATCGTCTGTTTTATGGTAGTCATGCTTTTGCACAGAGTGGGTAGAAAATGTATCGCCCATACTAACCAATGTGGTGCGATTGTCCTTGCAGAGGTTTGGGATCAAGTTCATCTCTGTGACCAACCTAGTGGATATACTGCTGGCAGTGATGAGGTGAATATTATTTGGCATGAATGGAAAGACAGCTACAATAAATATAGGCTTGGTCTTATTGAAGTGACATCATGCTTTATGCTGTTGAGTACTTCTATTTTAAATGCTAGCTATTCCCCTAGGCCGTCATGAACTATTCTCATTTGTTTGATAATGTGCTAGTGATTTGCAAATAATGTTCTTTGCATCAAGTATAGCTTAGCAGGTTAACGCAAAATATATACCAGTCTTGCTTGGTCTGTGCTATATAAATACCTTCAGAATTTAGTTGCATTACATTTTTCTTAATTATAAGAATCTGTTGCCTTGTCTGGTTCTTGGCGACTTGGTACAGCTTGGAAGTCGTACTTGTTTCTCAACAGGGAACATTTCGTTCCCACTACTTTCTGCTGTCGTGATAATAATAATATCTGGGGTTTTACATGACAAAACCACGTTATGGCAGCTAATCAAAATTGATGAAAAATTTAGTTTAATAAGCAAACTTGAGGGGCAACTTCAAGTGTTTACACAATTTAAAACAGTTGTACTTTTCATCATATTTTTCTTTTTCTCCTGGCTTTTTAAATTTTCTGGAAATACAGAGTGAAGAGGCATCTCCTGGCATACCTAAGCTTCAGGAATGTGGTCAAACAAGAAAAGGCAAAAGGGATGCACAGCTGGTAACAGAGTCGCCAGTCATACCCAAGCTTCAGGAACGCACTCGAGCAAAGAAGCCCAAAATGGACTCACATGATTTGCAACTGTCTCCATCCGTAGCCACTGTTCAAAAACATGCACAAAGGAAAAAGCGCAAAAGACCCAGTTAGTACACTTCTACTATTTCTTTCATTGTTTCTATCATTCTGTTTTATCTAATAGCTCAGCCTTTCCTGTGTAACGATCTTCAAGATTGTTGTAGTGTCGGGGATTTTATTTCGGTTTTGGAACCAATTGGCTGGCCCCTAGGGGATGTTGTACATATATATATATATATATATATATATAGTGATGCTTGTGTCATTTAAAGGGAGTTCCTGCTTGGCTACCGGCTGCTGCGTACTTCTTGCCGGCCGGCGCTTCAGCGCCATGCCCTGTGTTTTCTGTGCGTCGTGTCCGAAGCACGATACTACATTTTGGCGACGAGGATGGGATCTGGGTGCATCCAGCCTAGGTGGGCATATGACATTTGCTACTTGTGCTACCATGTTCAGCACCCTGGATAGAGCCCACCGATACTCCATTTCTGCGTATCACCAGTTCGTGACACCAATTCATACCTGCCTTGCCCAGCGTCTATCCTGCCGAAATGTGAGCCATTATTCATTCTTCTTCTGTGCAGCTCACATTCAAGACGCTACCTAAGGATATTTCGGCGCACTTACGGGACTGCAGACCTTTATCCGTGGGGCGGCTCCACATTTATTTCCTCCTTATCCGGTCTGTCTCGGCAGCAGCATGTTCCCCACAATTTCAACACCTCTGTTCGTGCGATGCCCTGGCATGCCTCCGATTCCGTGGAAGACTTGGCCTCGCGTCTTGCAAGTATACGTTGACGCGGCGGCCCCGGACGCTACGCCAGACGCAAAGAAGGCATTGCTGCTCAATGTGGTTGCATTGGAGGGATTGCAAGCTTACTACAAGGCTGCTGACAAGCAGATGCTGCTTGACGGCATCCAGGCTTCCAGAGATGGCGCATCATGCGACACGTTCCAGCAGGCCTTAGCCGTTCTCGACACTTACTTCGCATCACGTGAAGACGCTTTCTACGTACGGGTTCGATTCTGGCAGAGAGTTCAAGAACCGGACGATACTCCCGTCCAATTGAGTCTAGCACTACGGCGGTTGGCCAACAACTGCAATTTTGGCACCGGAGCTGATACAGTGAATGATTCAGGACCAGATTTTGCACAGCCTGCGTGTCCTGCATACTTACTCACAATGTACACTTCTGATGCTAATAAAGAAACATTGATTGATTGATTGATTGATTGATTGATTGACCTCGACCTGCTTAGGTCATTCGTTCAGATGGGGGACGCTTTCATAGTCCAGGCAGCGTTAGAACATTCCAGGGAAGAAGAGCGCGTCGACCACGCGTTGCAGCAGCTGGCTGACTCGATGATTACGCGATGCAAGCATCAACGCCGCGGCGTTCGTCATCCTCGACCCACACTGCTACAACGTTATGCTACCAACCCTGCTGTGCCAACGGCCCCTACGAGGTCTGCGGAAATTTTGCGAATTCTACCGGGCCATACTTAACTTCACATGCAGCGACGATCCCTGCTCGGACTGAGAGCATGCTTGCTTGTGCTGCACCTGTTAGCGTCCCAGCTGGTCGGGCTCCTGAGGCGCCTGTTCCTGCCAGGTTGCCTGCTGTTGAGCATACTCTGACTCAACACTCTTCAACTGGGAGTACTTCTACTGCGAGGATGGCAGTTCCGGTCTAGTCTGCTCATGCTGACTACACTTTAGCTTCATCAGTTGTCCATCTTTCGGTTGTGCCTACTGCTCCCGTCTTGCCTGCTGCTGCTTCCGCCCCGGCTGTGCTTCCTTCAGCTGGTGGTGGTCTCTGGGGTGCTGTTTCCGTTCTCGATCCGCCGGAGATGCGTCCATTGAGCGTGCCGGCCGGGATTCCGGAGGCAGTCCCTGTTCTGCCTGCGGCGGAGGTGCTTTCGCCGGCCGCGTCTGCGCCAATCGTGCCCGTTGCTGTTCTGTGCACAACGCCTACATCGGTGGTGCCGAGCCGTGTTCCGTTGGATCATCATCGCGTGCTTGTTCCGGCCCCTACTGGGCCAGAAGTACACTGGAGAGACAGCACATGGACCGATTTTTACATACCACCGGCTGTGGGCGGCGACAGTGCGTCGTGGAAATGGCACCACTACAGGCGTCGATGCCGTAGACTCAAACACGGCAGTGACTATGCAGACAACCTCTCTCGGGGGAGGGGATGATGTGTTGATTTGGCAATGTGCCTTGCTGTTGTATTGTTGGTCTGCATGCTAGACATTTTTAATTCTTCATAATTCGTTGTGCTACATCCGCTGCGTTACAATATGGACTGTGTTACGTGTCCAATTGCCAGTGTGCTTTATTTCTTGTTTTAGTGTGTATGCTCTACATTTTCAGTTTATGTTAGTTTCGCCATCATGTTAAGTGGTATGATCCTGAATGCTCTTTATTTCAAGGGGGGATGATGTGGTATCGGGTTTTGGTTCCGGTTTTAGAACTGGTTGGGTGGCCCCTAGGGGGCATTGTACATATTGTAATGAGCGAGACAGAGAACAAGAGACAACACCCGATCCTGGGCCAGCTGTTCTTATTCTGTCTTCTTCTTCCTCTACCTTCCCTTAGCTGCCCACGCGCCCGAGCCCCAGCGTCTTCCTTCGTCTTGATACTCGGCCATGACTGCGCGCGCGCGCGGAGCTGGCGGCAAAGTTTCTGCTGGGTGGGCTTGGCTGCATCGTGGTGGTCGTCCCGAGCCACAATGCAACATGGAGTGACGGTCTGGGGGAAGCGTCTCTGGTGGACGACACTGGCTGCCTCGAGCCGGTCGGTCAACGCCACGGTGCGCCTCTTCTTGAAGATCTGTCAGTGTATACTCAGGTGGGCGGAAATGGCTTTGTCGCTGCGGTTGAACTCGTCCATGGTACAACGTTTCCTGACAACTCGTGGAATACCACTCAGGCGGACGGCCCTGACTGTTCCGGCAAGGTCGCCGAGTGACCTGGAAATGCTGGTGTTTGTCCCACCGCCGTTGGTGGACTGAACTGCAGTGGGACGCTCTGTGAGGCAGCCGTGTGGACGTTTGTGCTATTTCTCGAAATGAGTTGCGACGCAGCTCATGGTTGGGCATCAATACCACAGCAGAACTCTCTGAAGTTGTCCAGCTGGTGGCTTCTGGCGAACTGTCGCGTGCAGACTTGGTGTGCTGGGAGGGAACAGCATGAGGGCTGGTCCTCGACAAGTTCTCAATGGCAGTGGCCTCAGCCTGGCTAGGTGTCTGGATTTTCTCAAAGGAAACATCCCTTGGGAGCCAAGTGTCTGGGCAACTGAGCGTATGTGCGTTTTCAAAAATGAATGTATGAGTCGTCTGCAAACATGGCTCTGTCAGGTTTCGGCTGATCTTGTTCGCATCCTCGGAAAGGCCTGCTTTGTGAAGCGGTAAGGAGTGCATTTTGTTTGCGACGATCATGGTCTGGTGGGGTTCAGTAGTGTCTGGTACGATAGATGTGAGCGCCTCCATGTCCTCGAATGACAACGAGCGAGAGGACAGTGTCTCCTGAGGAAGGTCTGGTGGTGGTATTCCCGGGTCTAATACCGATGCAGAGTTCACGACCTGCAGAGGAGAACTGTGGTCACTTTGGTCAGGGTAAGCAGCAGGAAACTCCTAGATATACTTCATTTCTTGAGAGGCGTCTTTTTGCAAGGCGGAAATGCTCTCATGTTCAGTTACTGAATCATGTAAAGCGTGCAGACCCGCTTTCGCGTGGTCAAGGATGAGCATGGTGAAATCCACAGGCACGTGCATTTGATGACGCGGTACAATGTCCCGTAAGATGGAGGCTGGCGCCTCAGCGTCTACCGAATGGTCTGACGACTCCGGATGGCGTTCGTTGGGGCCTGCCGCAGGGAGTTTTGCAAAACTTGCCATGAGAGACCTACCGCACACAGGTGCACCATCGGGCCGCTGCTCTATGACAGCAGAAATGCCTGTGCAAGGCAGAGTTACACGATCGTGATTGTTCCCTACATCTTGGTCACCGAGAGATGACAGGATAGTAGGGGCTCGAATTGCATCCTCTAGGTCGGGCTTTTCCCGAGTTCCATCTTGAGAGAAGGTCAAGTTGCATGGACAGGTGGCACAGGGAATCGGACCGAAACCAGCTATGAGCTTAAAGCTCCACTCCGCCTATGACTGCTGCTTCTAACCTTCATACCGGTGCCACGCCGCTGCACCTTCCCGAAGACGGTCTACAGCCACGGTCCATTTCTGATTTTTTGTCCAGGCCTCGCGCATTGCTATCACATTGACGGTTGCCACCCAGCTATCGGCGTCGTTCCGGACCCCGTGGAATTCCAGTAGTTCGCAGACGGCTGGTGATTGTGAGGTGGCAGGTGGCAACGCAGAGATCACCGACGCGAAGCAGTCGAGCTGTTGTGAGAGCTCGATCAGAGAAGACCAAAGCTCCCTGCATTGCTCCGGTGTGCTTGCCTCGAGGTCGTATGAGGCAGCTACATCCAACACTGTGAAAAAGGGTTTTCACAGTGTTGCCCACGCGCCCGAGCCTCAGCGTCTTCTTTCGTCTTGACAATATGTGTATATAGTGATGCTTGTGTCCTATAAAGGGAGTTCTTGCTTGGCTACCGACTGCTGTCCACTTATTTTTGGCCGGCGCATCAGCTCCACGCCCTGTGTTCTCCGTGCGTTGCGTCCGACGCACAGTACTACAAAGATGTTTCAAGTTGTGCCTCTAGTAGCATAAGTTTGCTGAATGAATGTCCCCAAGTTCACTCAACAACCATCTCACAATCGCTGCCACTTGCATATGAGCCTATCCTGCATTGCATCTTCTGTTTTGTGATAGTCATGCTTTTGTGCAGAGTGGGTAGAAAAAGTATAGCCCACACTAACCAATGTGCTGCGATTGTTCTTGCAGAGGTTTGGGTTCAAGTTCGGCTCTATGACCAGCCTGGTGGACTGCGCACAAAAGAAGATGTGACCATGTACGACATCTATCTTTCACTTGCCCTTGAAATAATTGAAGTTAACAGGTATGTCACCTTGGTTCTTTTAGACTATTTATTGGCTCTGATAGACTGCATATAACTTATATTTATACAAGGCTTATCAGTGTTTAAAAAGGCTCTAAAAAAAAAAGAAAAACTTGAGCTGTATCGTTAAAATGCCATTTCATAATATCAGAAAAGCTGCTCTCATCATTAGAAGAGCCTTAGCAAGCCAAAACAGTCAAAGAAACGAAAGACAGGTATTGGCATGTGCACCAGCTGTGCATAATATCATGGGCTTTGCCATCACCTTCCAGGACCTCTTCAAAGGTAAAAGATTTTGTGTGCTAGGGTAGTGGAAGAGTAAATGTGCTAAGTTTTAAAAACATCTGCCGAGCCACAGTGGCACAACATTTCTTTGGAAATTCATGACATTGTAATAATTTCTAGAAAAAAAAAAAACAGTTTTTTTTATCTTGCTTATAATACTACTCCTATTGCCATGAAATCAACAAAAATTGAGTTTTGGGGTATGATTTCAGTCTAAAGTTACCTTGTACTTTTCTTTAGTGCCACGTTAGTATTTGTGTAGTGGCTTTCATGTTATGTTTGTCTCTGTTTTCACTTGTGAGGTGCTAGTGCTAGCTGAATACATGATCTTGGTGGCTCAGCACTGCAGCAACATCCTCATGACGAAAGCATAAAATTCTGATGCACCTCTCATCCTATGATTTCTACCATTCTATGACTTTTGGACTCGTTTCTGTAATGTGTTAGCTGACATTTTTTTTCTGGGGGGAGGGGGGTTATGTAGTGTTATGCAAAAATTTTTCAGCCTCTTGTCTTTCTTTTGGTAAATTTCCAAAAATAATCTACAAATCTTGCTGATACTAGTTTTTTATACTCTCTATTATGCTCATAAAAAATGCGGTTGCTTCATGCACTGTTCATGTTTTCTTTTGCTTGTCTAAACCTTCAGATGAATGATAAAAACAGTAGTGATAATGTTCTAGGCAAAAAAAATATACATTTGTGTTTATAATCATCAGTCATTCCTGTGCTTCATTGTACTTCGAAAACTGTGATCTGGTTATGCGTTGTTGCAGTGGTAAGCTCGAGGATATAAGTTCAATTAACAGTCACTGCACCCTCATTCACGTGTAGGTGACGTGAAAGAATGTCCATGTTTTTAGATATATGTACATGTCAAAAACTTTTTATGGTCGAAAGTCATTTATTGGTCCCCATAATCATATTGTAGTTTTTACATGTAAAGTGCCATATTTACTTTATTACGCGTAAATTATTCTCTCGCAGTTACTTCTCTTGATCGCAGTTACTTCTCTTAAGACGACTATCAGTGCACAGTCGCAGAAATGCTTGCAATATTAAGTCTCGAAAAATATCTCACATGTGTTTGCCACAGAGTAACACCCGAAGTGTTGTCAGTTTTTCTTCTGTGTTTTCTCTTACCCTGTCCTTTACTTTTACATTGTCCTTGATATAATTTTAGTGCTTCAATTCACCACAAAAACAAAGTGATGTTTATTGTTCAGCTTTCTTGCTGTAAGCTTGTTGCTCAAAGCAGCATCGTGAACAGTAGCTGTCAGGCTCACATGTTCTGTAGTTTTCATAACCAGCTCATGAATTACTTTTGCATGTAGTTAATAGTATAAACCAATATTTGGGCAAATAGTGTGAGATGAATGGGTATTTAATTTGAGCAAATGATGCTTATTGCCCTGGCAACATCATTGAGCACATCGTCAAAACAGTTCAGAGCACTCGTTTCAACTTTCTGGTGTTTGTTTTGCAAAAAAGTACAATCAACAGTGCACCACATGGAGTGAGTATTACTATTTATTTCTGTAATTACCAATATAAATAAGATAGCAGCTGAGGACTTTTACAAAGATTTGTATAATAGCCAGGACAACCAAGAGGATAATGTAAGAAGTAGTAGTAGTTTAGAGGGATCGGACATCCTACCATTAATAAAAGCGGACGTAAGGAGAACCCTTGAAGGAATGCAAAAAGGCAAAGCTGCTGGTGAGGACAAGGTAACAACAGACCTCCTGAAATATGGTAGAAAAATTATGTTAGAAAAACTGGCCACCTTATATACGAAGTGTCTCTTGATGGGAAAGGTACCAAAATCTTGGAAGAACGCCAACATCATCCTAATCCACAAGAAAGGAGACGTCAAGAACTTGAAAAATTACAGGCTGATGAGCTCACAGTCCATTCTCTACAAGCTATATATAAAAATAATAGCTAATAGAATTAGGGCAACATTTGAATTCAATCAACCGAAAGACCGAGCAGGATTTCGTACAGGCTACTCCACAATGGACCATATTCATACTATCAATCAGGTCATAGAGAAATGTACGGAATACAACCAACCCCAATGCATAGCATTCATAGATTACGAGAAGCCATTTTACTTAGTGGCGACATCAGTAGTGATGCAGGCACTACAAAATCAGGGCATCGACGAACCCTACATAAATATACGGGAACAAATCTATAGCGGATCTGCAGCCACCATTGTTCTACATAAAGAAAGTGACAGAATCCCAATAAAGAAGGGTGTAAGGCAGGGAGACTTAATTTCTCCAATGCTGTTCACCACGTGCTTACATGAGGTTTTCAGAACCATAGGTTGGGAAGAGTTAGGGATAAGACTCAATGGAGAGTAGCTTAGTGACCTGCAATTCGCTGATGACGTTGTGTTTATGAGTAACTCGGGACGAATTGCAGCTTATGATTACTGAATTGGACAACGAATGCAGAATGGTAGGTCTGACAATTCTGGTGCAGAAAACTAAGAGTGCACAACACTCTTGGACGAGAACAGCGCCTTGCGATAGTAAGCGAGGCAGTGGAGGTTGTAAAGAAATACGTCTACAAAGGATAGTTAGTAATCACGGAGCCGAACTATGAGGCTGAAGTAACTAGTGGAAGAGTAAGAATGGGCTGTAGCATATTTGTCAGGCATTCTCAGATAATATATGATAGATTGCCAGTATAGTTCAGGAGGAAAGTATATGACAGCTGTATGTTAGCTATTCTTATCTACAGAGCAGAAACCTGGAGGCTTACATAGGCAGTTCAAATTAAATTGAGAACAACGAATGAGCAATACAAAAAAAATCATGGGCGTAACCTTAAAGGTACACTAAAGGCAACTATTAGGTCGATGTTGACTGTTGAAGTAGCGGTCCAGAAACCTCGCAGTGTTACTTTTGGGCAAAGGAAGGGCTTATTTTGAAATAAAATTGCGTTTTAGTGGTCCGCATTGGGTTAGCGCATTTAAAATTACCTGCCACAAGAAGTGGATCCTCTAATGTCACTGTTTCCATGCACAACATTGCCCGGCTTTACTGTGCGGCTGTTGACACTAGTAGCAGCAGAACGAAAGCAGCAGAGCCACAGCAGAAACAACGATCATTGATCAATTTCTTGCCATTGGCTCCGAAATAGCAGACATGTTTTGGTTCAACTGGGCCCCGCTAGATGGCACTACCTGTTCAGTTTAACCACACGAAAATTGAGATTTTGAACCACTCGTGCCATTCCCCCTAGTAACGTCTGGTTTTTTTTTTTTTTTTTTCGGGAACCAAACATACACGAACAAGCATCATTTTATGGCGTCTCTTGGTTCATGGAAGGTTCTTTATTTAGTGCAGCTATATGGATTACTAGTGATTAATTGTAGACAGTTCGTCTGATGTCATTGGATCATTTTGAAAATGTCCTACTGTGGCGCATGCATTCTTGTGCATTTACTTTAATTTCTCAGTAAGTAGGGCACTTCTGTTAATAATATTGTCGTTTTAGATGTCATACATTGAGCTTTAACTCTGACGTAAATTGTTATTTGACCTTAGTGTCCCTTCTAGGGACAAGAGCAGACCAGGGAAGTTCATGGAACAAACTGGTGTCAAAAATGACTTAGACAAAACCAAGAAAAAAGGGGGGGGGGGGGGGGGGCATGGGCAGGGCATGTAGCGCGTAGACAAGATAACTGCTAGTCATTGAGATTAACAGACCAGATTCCAAGAGAAAGCAAATGCGTAAAGGGGAGACAGAAAGTTAGATGGGCAAATGAGATTAAGTCGTTCACAGCTATATCGTGGCTGTAGGAAGCACAGGACCAGGCTGATAGGCGGAACATAGAAGAGGACTTTCCTGCGGTGGGCATAGTCAGTATGATTATGATGCCATTAAACAATACATATGCTTGCCGGGGCAAGAGAACACGTCCAAATTATTCAATATTTCAATTGAAGGGGGAGTTATATTAATGAGCTCTTACTGTATAAGACTGGCATCATTACTGTGTGTAATTTTTCAAATATGGTTTTACTGGCAGATTCATGATATCACCTGCACCAGAAAGTACAGGTCTGTCAAATTACCTATGTTATTTACAAATGCAGAGAAAACTTGCTCAAGAAACTGCAATGTAGTTAGTAGTTGATTAAAAATTACATAATTTCATTTTGTAACCTTTTGGGACACATGTTTCAATTGCAGAGTCTAAGCCTAGCTGAAATAATGAAAACTTACACCTACCTCGCAAGATTTGCATTGCAGAACTGAGGAGTACATCATCATCGTATAGAGAAAGTGTGGGAACACAGCCAGCACAAGAAAAAACAGACATTGAGAGCGAAGTAGGCGAGCCCTTACTGTAATGTCACATCACTATAATCTCACCGACAACAGTACTCGTTCTCGGGGCTAATACTGCGAGAACTTTGGCAACATTTTTCAAATGTTGTTCATGTTACATCTTCCCCCCCCCCCCCCCCCCCCTGTTTTTAATTGATGCATTTTATTTCTTCTGTTTTTTTACTCTTCTGGCTGCCTCTTCCTGTGCTTTTCACTACTTTGCGATATATTTCAGTTATTGATATATTTAAGTTGTCTGCTAACTGTGTGCATCCACTCCTAGTGTGCTTATGGAGTAGTCTCAGCCAATTTGTGGCATTTGTAAAATTGACATCTGTTCTTGTGCTGCACCTTTTTGGGCTTCTATTTTCACTAAAAGTAGGAACAGTGCAAGAGACTGGCACAAAATGAACAAAAAAGCAACAAATTTTTACTGCTGTCGTGTTTTGTATTTGTCTCTAGAACTGTTCTTTTAATTGTACCAACATGCCCAAGTCTCCGCTCTTCATGGCTTCTACCTTTGCATGTTCCTTCACTCTGTGCAAAGCAGCATCATACCTGGTTACACCTCTTCCTCTGCTCTAGTGGTGAGTGACTTGCTGTTGTGTGGCAGCATCCTGCTTGCTCTGAGAGGTTGCGACAGTCTTTCAATGTACCCTATCTTTTCTTACATAATCAGTGCACTGTGAGCTTTTTTTTTTTTCAGCATTGCAGGTGGTGATGTGCTTTATGTCATGGCCATTGCTTCAGTCTGAAACTCTAGTCTTCCTTCTTGCTCTTTCTCTCTTTTATCATCATCTCAGAGTATTGAGAAGCAATCATGCTCAAGGAGAGGTTTACATTTATTACCAAGATTGTTGATTGTTGGTAGCACTGTAGACTGTTAACTTCATCACTTGTGATGGATTGTTTTCCAGCATGTACAGCAGTAATAGGCTATGCTAAGTAGCAGATCAGCGACATGCTTTTTTTTATGCGGTTATGGAGGATGTTCTGTACATCACTTAAAACCATAATCTTGTTTTAGGTGGTTCACACTGTTCTATTATTATTATTATTATTATTATTATTATTATGATTATTATTATTATTATTATTATTATTATTATTATTATTATTATTATTGAATTGCTCTTTTTTCTTTCCTTTTTTTCTAGACAGCAGTGTCAGTCAAAGAAAGGCAAAAAGGTTATGGATCAGTTTTATAAAGAAGTTGCTAAGGATGCCATCGGAATGGTAAGGCTGCCTTTGATACCTGTGTTTGAAATATACCTGGCAAATGCACTGGGACTTTCTTTGTGAATATGCTGCTCTTCTGGTGTAAACACGTGGTTGACCATCATTATATTCTATAGTTATTGAAAAAACCGTATTCCTCTTGTAGGTTTGACATCCCAGAGCAGTTACTTTAAGTATTGAAGCCTACCTGTTTATGTTTATCAACTTTTCGGTTGTAAAGACAGCATTTGTATGTCAAGAACACAGGCGCTTTGTGAGTTGTTGACACTAAACACTATCATCAGAGCTCTTAGTGAGCTGCAGTTAAGTACTTTCCTTCTAACTCTACTGTCTTAACTTTTATCTCTATATCATTGTGCCAATCGAATCCTTTTTGTACTTATTCCAGACAGTGTTTTCTCCTGTTTGTGCTTATTTTGCAAAGGCGAGCCTCTTGACTTTCCACTATGCAGAGCATCTCACATGTTACAATGGTTAACCCTGAAATGCCCCGCCGCGGTGGTATAGTGGCTAAGGTACTCGGCTGCTGACCCGCACGTCGCGGGTTCAAATTCCGGCTGCGGCAGCTGCATTTATAATGGAGGCGGAAATGTTGTAGGCCCGTGTGCTCAGATTTGGACGCACGTTAAAGAACCCCAGGTGGTCGAAATTTCCGGAGCCCTCCACTACGGCGTCTCTCATAATCATATGGTGGTTTTGGGACGTTAAACCCCACATATCAATCAATCAAAACCCTGAAATGCTACATGTTTATTATTTCTGAATAGCATAGCTCTTTGCCTCTAGATCGAACAGAGTCAACCCCTAGCAACAATCGTATGAAACCCCATTGTGGGGATAGCTTCTTGAGTCCTCTGCTGGCTGCAATGTGTTCGCATGTGTGCGAACATCACGCGCTTCATAGCGCTGCTTATCCTGTTGTATTAGCAGTTTCAAGTGCTTGTACATATGCCTACACGATATACACAAGCATTTTGCCTTCCAAGGCTATGTGCTCTCTACTAAGTGAGTGCATGCACATGTCGGTATCGTGCCAGGTGTCATCATACTGGCCATTCACTAAAATTACTTCAATGTCCGTCCACTTTGTCGTTCAAGCACATCACATAGTGCTTTTGGCACTGTCCTTAACAATAGAAATACAGTCAAGCCCACTTATAACGGCCTTACTTAAAAGAACTTTTGCTTAAAACGAACAATATCCACGTGACCATAAAAATATACATTGGTTCAATGGCACAAAATCGCACTTACAACGAACGTCTCCGAGCGCCACTGATCGGTTACAGCGAACAGAGTCAGCAGTCTGCCGACTGCCCGGGAAACCAATTTCGACCACCCATCAGGCATCGGCGAGGTGCCCATACATTCTTATTGTTAAACGCCGATTCTGCCTCCGAGCACCTCTAGTTGCTGCTCTCCCCGACCACTTTTTGTTACGCACCGCTCCGTCCTTTGTCCCCCTGCTACTCTGAACACCCCGCATCGCCAGACGAGGCCAGTGTTTTCACACAGCCACCGATCTTTCGAAGACCGGTCGGGCACCTACCCTTTTGTTGAACGCTGGTACTGTCGCTGGTCACCGGCCTGGAGTGACCAGACCATTTGCCAACATCGTCGGCCACCGACTGTATCCTGATATTCTGCGATTCGTTTCATGTTTGTTCTCCCTCACTTCGCACTCAACTCAGCAAGCCTTCCGCGCACGTGCGGAAGCATGAAAACGGCTGTTAGTTTGCGTGGAACGAATCGCGAAATATCGAAGTCTGTGAGGCCACGCAAACTCGCCAGCGCAACAAAACGATTTTTTGAACACGGCCGCCGATTCTTCGAATGCCGCTGGGCGCACCGATTCAGGCGGCCATGCACTCTTTCCAAGTTTTTCTACGTGACAGTTTCGCGGACCTTTCAAGCAAGCTACCCAACCTGCCTCCTTCCCATGTGTTTTGGTTTCAAGGTTGCCCTTTCGCCGCATCCTCCCCTCTCTTTATCGAAACTTCTTGCCCTTCTCTCGCAAGTCTGCTCTCCTCTCTTGATCACATCCCTTCCGCCCGTCTTCACCGCTCTGCGACGCCCGCCACGCTGGCTCTAATTAGTTTCGTTTTCTAACTGAAAACGGGCCCAGAGCTGTTCCACGTGTTCTGGCATGTGCGTCGCGTGTGCGCGTCTTGTTCGCTCTTGGTGTGCATGTGTGGTCATGATGGCCAACGGGAGGACTAGCACGCTTTTCCGTGCCGCTCAACAAAACGTCGAAAGTGTGACCGCTTGGCTTGACCGTAATACGCGCGTTAGGTGCAGCGTTGCGAAGCGCTTGCTCATAGCTGTTGACCACCTGGCAGCTAACTTGCCGTTTCGGGCGTCCCGGTATTCAGCTGTGGAGATGGTGAATATTTGTGGGCGCGGATGGTGAATATTTGTGGGCGGTGGTGACGGCTACTTGTGCGCGAAACTATTTTTGCGAGGCCGACTTCGTCGATCGTCGGGCCCGATGCCGAGCCTGAAGCTTCCGAACAGGACCACTGCGGCGGCGATTAGTGGCAGCGCGTCGTCAACTCCGACCTGGGAGAGCGGGTGGGACATCTGTTACGATGATTTAATCACGGCTGATGATGATGCCGACACTGCAGAATCGTGCACGGATTGGGGCATTGTGAATGAAGTATGTGGCGAGAGCGATTTGGAAGAATCGGATTGCGATAGAGAACTTTGGAGCCAGTGCCTCATGCAGCTTATGCTACGGGCCTCAGCGAACGAGCAGTCTGCCGTTTTAAATGAACTCGAGACCACCCTTATCGTTTCTGCTCTTCGAAACACGTGCATCACAGATTTTTGGGGCTAAAAAATTTGTGTTTTCACTCGCAACTTTTTTAAAAAGCTGTGTTTCATTTACTACGAACTTCGGGATACAGCGAACGGATGCCGCGTCACGCTCAGGTTCGTTATAAATGGGCTCGACTGTATTAAATGTCGAGGTGTGAGTGCACAACTTTAGCATTACAATCTCGTGAAGTGTTGATGATTTTGAAATTCTTCTGATACTGCTAAGCAGGAATTACCCATCAGAGGACACTTGCATCTACAAAAGCCGGTTAGCAGTAAAAGAAATATCTCTAGCCATGCACTTCTATGATGGCACACTTGTTGTTAGGAGTATAATATTGTGACTGTTATTCAGCAGTTACGTGACAAGCCTTAGCTGTACTCAAGATGTCCTTTTTTTCTATGGTCCTTGTCTCACTACGGAGGAATATTTATTGAAAGACCTACAAATAAAAAAAGATAAGACATCAAGGACAGTGCGAAAGCACGACTCGCTCAAGGCCAGCACCTCACACATTCTCATGCTTAATAGGAACGTTAGGCCAGCTTTTTGCATTAATGTGGCAATGGAAGGCTTATATATTATCATTAGTCAACATGCTTTATTCTCTGACAATTGACTCAAACAGCTCAAAGAAAAGCGCCAGCTCATACATTTGGATACAGGCCACTGATTGCTTATCCAGACTTTTATAATGACGGTACTACTCCCTATAGCTCAATGGTACAGTGAATTGCCTGCATATTGTAACTGGAAGTTCTGAAATACACTTGAGAAGCGTGTGAATCTGAGCTTGTTGGTACACATTCATAGTAAAAAAACAGCCCGGAAACAAGGAAAATACAGAAGACAGTGCTCTGTCCAGTTTTTTCTGTTTTTTCTTGTTATTTTCAAGCTGTTTTTTTTTTACTATGATTCTGAAATATATACTACTATATTCAGTGCGGCATCCTTGAAAGTTGCCCCGCCGCGGTGGTCTAGTGGCTAAGGTACTCGGCTGCTGACCCGCAGGGCGCGGGTTCGAATCCCGGCTGCGGCGGCTGCATTTCCGATGGAGGCGGAAATGTTGTAGGCCCGTGTGCTCAGATTTGGGTGCACGCTAAAGAACCCCAGGTGGTCTAAATTTCCGGAGCCCTCCACTGCGGCGTCTCTCATAATCATATAGTGGTTTTGGGACGTTAAACCCCACATATCAATCAATCCTTGAAAGTTACGTGTGCCGAGATTTGGGTGCATGCTAAAGAACCCCAGGTGGTCGAAATTTTCCAAGCCCTCCACTATAGCATCTTTCATAATCATATGGTGGTTTTGGGACGTTAAATCCCACATATCAATCAATCTTTGAAAGTTACAACAAATAACTTTTTTTTAAATGCACAACAACTAAGTTCTCTCACGATGCAATAAGGTGCACCTTTTTTAATCGCCCCGCCGCGGTGGTCTAGTGGCTAAGGTACTTGGCTGCTAACCCGCAGGTCGTGGGATCAAATCCCAGCTGCGGCAGCTGCATTTCCGATGGAGGCAGAAATGTTGTAGGCCTGTGTGCTCAGATTTGGGTGCACGTTTCTCCAGGTGGTCGAAATTTCTGAAGCCTTCCCCTACGGCGTCTCTCATAATCATATGGTGGTTTTGGGACGTTAAACCCCACGTATCCATCAACCTTTTTAATCTGAACCGTTTTGTTTTCTTCTCTCAAGATGTTCATTCCTGTCAAATGCAAAAGAGCATAAATTCTTATGTGTGTGCGGGAAAAGTATGGCATCGTTTCCAAAATTTTTAGGCTGAGGATCCTGCATTTCCTATGGAGGCGGAAATGTCGTAGGCCCGTGTGCTCAGATTTGGGTGCACTTTAAAGAACCCCAGGTGGTCGAAATTTCTGGAGCCCTCCACTACGGCATCTCTCATAATCATATGGTGGTTTTGGGACGTTAAACCCCGCATATCAATCAATTAGGCTGAAGATCCTGTCTTTCATTCGTCGTCAACAAAGACAATCTGAAAGACAAGGTGGATGCTCATTGCTAGCATTTATAGCATGTCTAGTGCGATACATTGCTCAATACAGTGGTGAAAGTGCTATGCCAACTGTGCCATTTTGCACCAATCTGACCTGCTGCGCCAAACTGTGCATCAGCTTCCGTGATAATTGTCAATTGGGAGTGTAAACTGCCAAATC